GTGCTAACCACCGCACCACCTGCACACCCCAGCTTCACTGTCCTTGCAGAGGCAAAATATGATGCTCCCACCACCATGCTTGACTGAGCTGATGTGGCGTGTTCGATTTCTGTTGAACAAACAACTTTGCACGTGCCTAGACAGTTGAATTCAATTCTTGCAGAGGTGTACTGCTGATTGACAGTAGTTAGGGAAGAACTCACGACTAAACGCTTTAGCAGAGTTCAAAAGTCTGCCTGCACCATTGTGGATTCTCCATTTTGACTGTGTCAGAGCCATCAGTTGTGAAGTGAAAGCTGTGGGTTTTTAAGTAGGCTGTCTATCTCTATCGATCGCTGGTGTGATCCTGTCAGTTGTTGTGCTGAAGTGGTCAGTGGTAAATGCTGTTTTAATGAAGTCTGCCTATTGATTTGCCTGTGCTATTTGTCCGTGGAATTTGAGTCAACTGAAACCTGGGTAAACAAGATAATCAGGCATGATGCAGATAGTTAGATGTTTTGGGTTTTTTCTGTGCTAAAATCATCATCGTGTATAATTTACTTCATTCGCACAATTGAAGCAGAAAAAACTTGCATGCAAAAGGAAACATCCTACCACCCAGACTCTTGAAAATGAAGATTGTGCAATTCGATGTGAATAATTACATCAAAAAAAGCAAAGACATCCCTGCCAAAAAAAAAAAAAACACACTGTGGTATGGAGATTTGACAGAGAATTGGATTTCCCCTGCTGTGAAATCTGTTTTTGTGGTCCTGCTAGCCAACCATCGTCATTATGCCTTTTTCCCTTTAGATGCGCTCCGTGTCCATTTACAGCATCTAGCCTGGTGCACTATGTTATTATCAGCATCTCAGGTCAACTCCTGTAGGAACAGTGTGTGACTTCAGCAGGTCTGCATTCATTCGCGGCACCATAAGCCTTTTATACTGAGCACTTCAATCTGAGCCGCAATGACATATGAGATGCACCTCGTCTTGGTAAAAATTATTCAAGCGGGCATAGTCGATCTTTAAGTGTCAAACGCCACGCTTCAAAAGCTCTTTTCAATTCCTCTGAGTGGAATCAGAGTCATCAAGATGAGAGGGTCTCTTACTTTGATTTAGTAGATGGCCTCAGAAACCCCCACCATTTATAAGCAACCTCTACCATACAGTAATGTGTTTTATTTTGTAGGAGCTCTGCTAGCTGCAGCTTTGGCTTCTTTCTAGCAACAAGTCAGACGAACAGGGATTATAAAATATGTGACAAGGCCTGGCTCAAAGCTAAACAGTTACACTGATCTGCCTGCCAGACATCTTAAATATAGTCCTAGCTCCGTCTTTTCTTGTGCAAATGTGACTAAGCCCCTCTCTAGTCGTACAAGCCATCACAGTAGCTCGCAAAAGTGTTTATACCTCTTGAACTTTTCCCGATTTTGTCATGTTAAAACCACTACTTTTGGTGGATTTTGTAGGGATGTTATGTGATAGACCAACACAAAGGGGTAATAGTGATTGCTGGCTTTCTGAAACTCTATAGAACTTAAACCTAGTGCTGTGCAGTGCTATGTCCATTTGCATTCAGCACCATGCGGCTATGATCAGGACTCTAGCTTCAGTCATAGCTGCTTGCCATTTTTATTATTAAAATCTTCCATCTCTGGATGCAAAGCTGGAAGATTTTGCTGAACTTTGACTGCACTTGTGAAACAGATATTGATTCGGCTGTAAGTTCATGTGATTTTTCGGCTCCGAACTCAAGACTTTTGCAACCTCCAAATGTTTTTTCACCATGTGTGCCGTTTATTTTGCTCAATCCTTTTCTCACCAACTTATTGTTCCATATTCTCACAGCATGATCCTGCCACCACCACGTTTTAATACATTCGAATTGTTGCGCTTTTGAACTTTTCAACTCTAATAGTTTTGATGAAGGACAAAAGTTGGTCTCGTCTAGTTTTTGATTCCTGGCAATCTCCGTCAGCACTACTTACACATTTTATTTAAAGATAACCTACAAACTTTCACTGTAAACTTAAAGGAAAGATTTTTGGAGTGTACATACACCACCAGTTCTGTTGACAGATTCCCTCAACTCAATCTCTTTATTGGACTTCTGAAGGGACATGAAATAACTGCTGCATTGCCAGCAAGTTAGCAATGGTGCTTTATAAAATGAAGGCCCCAGATTTAAATGATGTCCTGGCCTCTTTTTACTTGGAGTTTTCACATCATCCATGCAAACATGCCATAATTGTCTTCGCAAACCCCGAAAATTCCCAAAACCTAAGATTACATTTAAGTGTTTTCCTAAATTACTGAGTTATGAGTGTGGATTACTGTCTTTGTGCTGCCATGTAATGCAATGGCACTAGGGTGTACCCCGTCTCTCGTCTCTCGCTCTGCTGGAGAGGGACACCAGCAGAGTGCGACCCTGCAAGGACAGCCATGTAAATATGATGGATGGTTGTTTTCGGATTAACCTGAATACATCAGCATGCCACATTTTTTGGATTTCTATTTGTGGAAATTGTTAAAATGCATGTATCCTCTTCTTCCTCTTTACAAATATGCACTACTTCATTTTTATATCTCAATGGCCGGATAATATCCAATACGTTTGCTGTTGATACATGAGAAAATGTGTCATTAGGGGTGAATACTCTTGCAATGCACTGCATATGTTTGTATTTCACAACAATCCATCTCAATGCTTCCTCGAAGCAGTAATCTCTTATTGCCCATGCCTTTGTTTTCAAGACTCGCTTCAGCATTTTGAATATGAAGATACAGAGCTCTTGAAATTCGGTGCAGCCAACTGTGTGAAAAGGTTTCCTGAGCTCAGATGCCATCAGCTTCAGTTGCAGAGATATGCAGCATGAATGGACAACAGAGCATCAGTGTTCTCGCTCGATGTCATTCTCTTTTTCTTTTTTTCTTTCTTGCATTGAGATGGTCTCAGGCTAGAATTGCTGGAACAGACTTTGAAGTGGCTCGGGCGTTTTATCTCCCTCTGTGTGTGCCTGCCTCCCACATCTGGTGCTATCATAATAACAAGCAATAACCCTCTTTTGGCAATAAGCAAGACTTTTACGCCCCTAATGTGGCTTCAATAAATAATGCCGTGTTTACAGAGGGACCATATTTTACAGCAATTTACTTCCGAGCCTCCCCTCTTGCTTCGTTTGCAGCCTTCTCAAGCTGGAGTACTGTACATAATGCTGTGTATAAACACCAACATGCATTAGCACATTTACAAACCAACTGCTACAGACAAATAGCTCAGCCCATCATGTGCAATCACAGTGTACATTAGGAAAAAGGCTTTGAAAAATCAGATTTTTCACCACACAACTTGTTCAGCTTCAACACATGGAGGCAAGGACAGGTTTCTATCGGGCCTGTTGAATACAGCAGAACAAGCATGGGGGCGCGTTTCATTAGTCTGTCAAACTCAATGATATTTAGAGTCCCATACTCCTGGCCAGGACTAGAAAACTCAATCAGCACTCTGATTTCATAACCCACTTGGTGACAGGGCTTATTTTATCGCCCTGCTGATTCATTCTAATAAATGCCGGCTGCCCTGCGCACCACTGATGAAATACAACCACTCCTCCCTCCTTCATGTCCTCCATGGGTCGACCCGAAAAAAGGGAGGGTGTGGAGTGGGGATAAATCAGAAATGTGGGAACTGGAGGGTGCAGATAATCCATCGCCGGTCCAGGTGTAGCCAGCCGGTTTGCCCGCCCTGCATTCCTCCCTCCTTCCAGAACCCTGGAGCACAAATCAGCAGCTTGGGAAGCTGTTGATCTGTGCGGGCTCACTGGGTCCATTGATTGTGGACGATGGAGGAGGAGAGGGGCGATAAATAAACGGAGGCAGAGTGAGGAGGGTGAAGGAAAACAATTATCTGTGGAGGTGGAAAGCACATAAAGCAAAGAATGATAAACACTGTGAAATATGATTGACTCCAAGTGATATATGGGAGCTGAAGGACGGGCAGGGAGGCCTGTGCATGCAGAGATATCCTTGGACGGAATGGCTGCTCAGGGTCTGACTACATAATTCTATGTGTGTCTTAAAGAACATCCAACAGATATAGTTTTGAGACATTTTCTTTTTTAAGCAAACGGCTGGTTGGTTTAAAAAGACAATTTAAGAAAATAGTTCTACATCTGGATTTTTACAAGTCTATAAGGAGGCTCAAAGATTAAAGGTATAGTAGAGGATTTTCACGCATTTTTGAAAAGACCCACCCTCTCCAGTTTGAAAAAAAAAAATGAACACGCACAACCCTATATCCCCGTTACCGAGATGGACCGCTAGCAAGAGCATGCACAAGCCCATTTCTCGTCATGCAAGCTCTGATTTAAAATTGCTGTTCGCATCGCTCACACAAGCTCAGTTTCCAAAAGAAGACTTGCAATTTTTCCACTACCACTGGTATGTTAAAATGGGGACGAGCACCTAGGACGGCCTTACATGAACATACCACCAGAATGATTGACAATTAGGAGGACCACTTATTTTGACGATCCAACCGGAAAAAGAACATCCTCCACTATATCTTTCAATTCTTGCTCCTCTATATATTCCTTTATATTTAACTTAGATTTTGACTTCTGTATTATGACAGAAATAAAAACAATGGAGGCTGGATGTTCAAGTATTATTGGAAAGTTAAATGGCAGGAAAAAAAAGAGTGTGATTGTAACAGGGGTAACTACTTAAGAGGGTTGTTGAGTAAAACCCTTTTCAGAATATAGACTTGGACAAGAAGAATGAATCTTGCATTTAATATAATTTAAAAATATATCACCTAACTTTTTTCTACATTTTGAAAAAAAAAATCAACATTTCATCAATATAATTTCTTTAGATGCATTAGAAAATCTTTAGATAAATCACTCATTTGTTCCCTTTACTCTGTTGACTAGGTGTCCCTAAGAGAGATCCTAATTCCAGCAGGACAAACTTGGTTAGAAAAATAAATGATTGAACGTGTGTTTTTCTCCACAGACAACAGATGACATCGTTTCCTCAGCAGAATGCTCAAGCGATGATGAGGACCTGGAGGAGTGCGACTCGGGACATGCAGGTGGGATGAGTGTGTTGAGTTCTGCTTGCTCTGAGATCTGGTCTATTTATCCTTATCTCTTTTTTTGTTTGTTTTTTGATTTGCCACTGAGGAGTTTCTCCTCTCAGCATCATGCCCCCCATGGGAGCTTTAAGTGTAACTTTTAAAAGAAAAGCAGCCCCAGTCGGAAAAACACATTTGTGTGAAGTGTTCTCTGCATACACCAGGAGTTTTTCAGAACTCTTTGGAGATGCGTAAAAAGCAGTGGGAGGAAATCTTCCATCTTCAGGTCATTACAGTCGTAACCTTAACTGGAAATATGTCCCCAGCACACAAGGCTGTTGTCGGGACTCCAAATCAAGTTACACGAAGCTATGGGGCCCCTGGCTGCAGACATGACGAAGCGTTGATGCTAATTTTGTTCTCTCAGCATCGATTGAGAGCAAAACTTTGCAGAAAAAAAGTGCGAAATTAGCATCATGCCGCATGTCGCCTGCATTGATGCTTCAAAATGTATCTGTCCCGTACATGGTTGAACCCCTCTTGCTGTGCGTGTGTGCCTTTCTCTCCTGACAGAGGATACATTTTGAGATTCTTTCGAGAACAAAGATGCTTTCAGCCTTTAGATACTGTGATATGTAGCAGACTAACTGCAACAGAGCCTCTTCCTTGCCCTTCTTCTTTCTCTTGTTTGTACCTCTGTTTCCTCGTCGGAGGCTTGCCTTACCTGAGACATTCTAATAGAGAACAGATATCCTCGAATTTCTGTGCGCACCGTCTCTTCCTCCCCTCCCCCTTTCCCTTTGACACCACACAACACACGCAGACACGGCGCACATAAGCACTCACAGGTATCACTTTGTGATTGCATCAAAGTGATAAGACACTCAGTGGAGATTGAAAATAAAAACAGAGCTGGAAATAAAACCCCAGATTCAAAAGGAGTGGTAATTTTGAGGCAACTTGGGTTTGGAAGATATATTTATTTTTTTTCTGAACAAGCAGCTGTCAATCACACTTTCAGCCCTGAGAGCAGCTGGCACGCGTCCTAATAACGTGGTAAAAACCAGGAGACTGCGAGCCATATTAAAACTGGCTCAGCGTTTGACAAGCTGCTCCCCTCAGGCCCTCAGGAAATCATTAACAGCTCAGGCTATTTGATTGCTTCACTGTCCTTCAAAATACCATCACCACAGACTAATTGATGCTGCGCTAATCTGCCCAAACACGGCTTCGCTGAACGCCGAGCATATGTCCACTTTTCTCTGCTAATAATACGGCTAAATTCAAAAAATGCACAGCCCCTGTTTGCTGGGGGGGCTGTGCATTGTCTAGATGTAAACTTTCACTTTTGAGTTTTTGATTATTTTTTTAAGCTCCACACTATATCATGTGTTGCCATGTGTTGCTACCTACAGTAATGGACATTTTTATCCCGTATTGTTCTCCGTAGAAAAAAAGGGAGCCCTGTTGCCTATATTTTGTGACATTTCAGTGCAATTAATTAGCAATAAAAAAAAAATAAAAGAAAATGTGCTCAGAATTTTTAAAATTTTCTTTAAAAAATCAGGAAAAGCACAGCATGTATTCATACTCAGCCCCCTTTTCTCTAATAGTTCCCTGTTTATAATTTAATCTCAGTAAAATTGCAGCAGTCCTGTGAAAGCCGTTGCGTTTCTTTGCTAGTGTTTTTTAGAGAACGTTAGTGAAGAACCAACAGAAACAGGGAAAACAACAATACTTTAAGGAGGTTTAAAGCAGGGTTAAGTTATAACCGTGTAGAAATTTGTTTGAACTTTAAGGCCATGCAGCCAAGATGGAGAAAGTGCAAAAAAACAGCAGTTGTGCAATCCACTGACTTCCCTTATGGAACGGTTGCACGAATAAAGCCATGGAGAGGGCAGAGCAAATACATAGATATAAATAGATATAAAGAAGAGGTGAGGAGTGATTGTAACATCTCCACTGTAAAGCATGGCAGTGGCAGCATCATGATATGCCTATGCTTTATTTAACAGGGATAGAGAAGCTGGTTAGAGTCTGTTAGAGAGGGGGTTTTATTAGGTACTGTGACAGGAGGATAAACACAAAAGTATATCTTGTTTGCAGGTTTTTATGTAAAACATGATAGAAAATGAGCTTTGTTCTTCAATTTTACAATAATGCACTAAAATGTTACAAAAAACTGCACATTTAAAAAGGCTTAATTAGCGTGAATTACTTTATAAGGCACCGTAAGTGTTCTTTATTATTTTTTTGATTAAATATGAAACCCAAACCCAAGTGTACTCATAAAGTCAAATGGTAAGCTTAATATCTGTGTAGAACATGGTACCCTTCCCTCAGATAGTGGCAACATAGACACACCCATACCTACCGGACATTCCACCATGTTGACACAGAAATTCATTCCCTCATTCCCCGCTCCGCTTCCAGTCGTATGACCAGTTGCATGACATGCTGTCGGTTTCTTTTGCATTTTCTGTTTTCTGTGATGCACATGTGAACATGAGCTGGGTTGCTTAAGATCTGAGCTTTTTGTTTTCTGTTAATCTTTGGGGCCAAGGTGGGTAGAGTGATGTTATTTCCATTTTGTTTTACTTCATTGTTTTGTTTTTGGTATTGTTATTCTGATTTTTTTTTTGACCTCATCACCATTGTCATCATCATCATCATCATCATCGTCGTCGTCCATCCTCCAAGCAAGGATAGAGCCGCTCCTCCCGTTCTTGCCTCATCTCGTGCCGCATGAACTTTTGGTGGTTGGAAAAAAAAAATCAAACTCCTCCTTCCCCCTCATCAAGTTTGTGTCCATCGACTTATGTGCCGTGTGGCTCCGACAGAAACATCCTTACCTCATTTTCAGTACAACTTAGGGAAATGAACGGCAACAAAATCTTTTCTTGCCATCATTTTGTTTTGTATGGGTCTTGGTGCCAACAACCTCCCATTCTGTCTTGAGAAAGTTGTGAGTGAAAGACTGACCTCCCTTCCTTCCCACCAACTACCCCCCCCCCCCCCCCTTTTTCCGCGTGTTGACCCCTCCTCCCCCATTCTGATTCAGCCACCTCCTCTCTTTTAGCCTCTCTGCATATACATGTCTGTTTGAATGCAGATGGCATAAAAAGACTTTTATTGCCACAAAGTATATCTGTTTTTCTATTCTATCTGTTGCTCCAAGTAGAAGGCATTTGTAGCATGCTTTGTCCTGGACTAACTACTGTAATACTCCCCCCCCTTACGCTGCTGCATGGACATATTTGGCATCCATATTATGTGTGTTTTCTCTCCACTCATAAATCTCAGGCTAACCCCCACCTAGCTTCTATTACATGTCAGTTGTGCATGCTGGGGGCTACAGCGGCGGGTCCAAGCCCGACCAACGTATCCCGCAGCATCCTGCTTGCTCAGAGGTGTCTGCTGTTTGTGCCGGCTGTCCCTGTCAGTGCTCCGTCTGCCAAAACAGCCTGTCTTGTCTGCTCTTTGTGCTCCTCTTGTGCTCGTGTCGTCTGTTTGTTTGATGAAAAAGAACTGTTAAACCTTACCCCTCTCCCCGTTACTTTACCCCCCACCCCCCATGGGAGTTCCACAGGAGAGAGGGCAAACAAGAAGTGCACAGAAAGTCCTCGGTATAATACCCTGAACATATTTACTTAGCCGCAGGTTGGAGAAGTCGAGCTTTATGCGATTAAATTACTGGAGAAAAATAACTTTAGAGAAAATCAAAATCAACAAGTCGAATCTAGTTTCAATTTTCACTGATTAACAGTGAGGCAGCTCGTCATTACCATGTAATCTGAGCAATTTTGTGATTAGTATTTAATTGCATGATTGCAGTTAATGCAAATGACTTCAAATTCACAAATAGAAATCTGAATATTTGATTAGTAGGTACAGGTCGTTACAAACCCCTGTAAGAATATTTCTTTCTTTCTTTAATTCTTTATTTTATTGTTTAGCAGTTAAAAATCATGCCAAAATGTTTAGTTTTTTTTTTTGTTTGTTTGTTTTTTTTTTAACCTGCACAAGAGCATAGATGTGTGTGGGGAATAAATGTCACAGCGTGTATCTTACATTGTCAGAGCTAGAAAAGAAGAGGTGTGGCTGATAACATTAATCAAGTCTTTATTGCTTTCGCATCAACGGTTCCCTGAGAGTACAAATCAGGCAGACAGCTCTGCAAACTCTAAGAATTCCTAAATGGATCCGAGCCATCATTGTTGTTATTAGTTCACTTCTATTAAAGCTCGTCAAAATGTCAAACCACTAACAGACACTGCCCCAGAAACTTAGAAGTATTCTGTAACATGTAAAATTGAGACGAGAACCTGCTCCAGTTTTAGTTTTGTAACCAACAATATTCATTCTTGTGCTATTAACATAGTGACAGACTAAAAATAAGGTAAAGTACTCTACTACAATTCAGTAATGGGAAGAATAAAGGCCACTAAGTGCACACCGGTGGCTTCCATTTGATTTAAGCGCCAAAGTTGACCACTGAATTTGCAAAAACAAAAAGTTTGTTCAGGTGTTAATGCATGTCGATCTTTGGACTTTGAGAGTGTGTTAAAACACAATGCAAAGGACTAAAAAAAACATCAGCAAAGACCTTAGGGAAGCAATTATTACTGCCCAAAAAATTTAAGAAATGTTGCGAGGTCCTTTTTAATCAATTCAAGAGAGAGAAGATTTTCAGTAACTGTTAAACTTCTCAGAAATTTCAGTGACATCAGTTTTTTATAAAGCTCAGAGACGTAAAAAGCCATAAAGTTCCCCATCTCAGGCTCGATAGGCCTCAGTTGGAATGTTTAATGTTGAAGCTCATGAAAGTGTAGCAAGAAAAAGACTAAACTATGGCATGATGGAGACGGTTGCTATAGGGAAGCACATTAGCAATGACCTATGAGGAACATAGGTACTATTAAAGGAGGTACTATTAAAGACGATGGTGGAAGTCTGGTGATAAACTGACAGAACTGTCCACTAATTGTTAACCACATATTTAATTAACCACATTGTAC